TACAAAGCAAACGGAAAATCCCCAACAGAATCTCTTGATATGGAATCACTTCAAGATGGCGGTCACCAGTCTGGTACGGCAGAATGTGAGCAACCTCTGAGAGGGCTGTCACATCACCCCCCTCCTTAGGCCGGGATCGTCCCGATCCGGCGAGTGGTCGGTCGTCGTCAGGGTGGTCAGGGACGAATTCGCCATTTTCAGCGGCTCGTAGCCATTCCGGCAGTCGTTTCAGGAGTCAAGGTAGGTCAGGATATTGGGCATGGAAGTCCCGGATCCGTTCTGGGGCGTGCTTGAGTTGTTGGCTGGATACCAAGTCAGGTCTGTATCATGGCCTTTCCACCGAACGCGATATTGCAGCTTGCGGTAGTGTAATCGGACGGCAAGGATCTCATCAACTTCCCATTCGTCTTGCCCCTGAACCTCGATGGGTGGGGGAGGGTCAAGATGCTGCCCTGTCAATGGTTCGCTGCTTGGTGCTTTCCGTAATTTTTCAGGCGCAAAGATCGGATGCACTTTGATGCTAGGCGGCAATTCGAGTCGATAAGCATTTCCCACCTTCTCCAAGATCCGATACGGACCTGCCATCTGATCACTGAGCTTCCGGGTCGGGCGGCTTTGCTGCCAGTCAGCGGTGGTGACCAAAACATAGACCCCCACATCAAAATCCAGCTCTCTGCGGTGTTTATCTGCCTGTACTTTTTGGCGATGCTGAGCTGTCTGCATGTTTGATTTTGCTAGCTTCCATATCTGTTCCATTCTCCTTGCCAGTTGTTGGGCCTCTTGACGATCTACTTGCAACGTCTGGGGTAAGGAGGCTTTCGTCCAATCAAATGACGTGCGTGGTTCGTAACCTCTTTCAACCAGGAAGGGAGATAGGCCGGTAGAATCACTAGGGAGTGCTGCTGCTGCAAAGTTCAGGATGGGTAACCATTCATCCCAATCGTCCTGGTAATAACTGACGAAAGGTCGCAGGCGTTGGGCGATATACTGGTTCATAATTTCTGTTTGGCCGTTGTTTGTGGATGCTGGCCTGATGATAATTTAATCTGTATTTGAAGGATTTTGCACAGTTCGTCCCAGAACTCTGATATGAATTGTCCTCCTCGATCTGATATGATAGTTTCGGGCAGCCCTGTCCATGGATAGATGTACTGGAGGAAGAGCCGGGCCATGTCTTTCGCAGTGGTGGTCTTATAACAGGGAACAGCGACAGGGCGTTTAGTTAATCGATCAACGACTACAAAGGCCGCATCAAACTCATTTTTTGAACGCGGGAAGGAGCGGAAATCCATGGATATGTGCTGCCATGGTTGATCTGGTATTGGTAACGGCTGCAGAAGTCCTGGAGGCAAGTCACGTTGTGTCTTTGATCGCTGGCAGATGAGGCAGTTCTCCACATATCGATCAACATCCTTGCTCCAGGAGGTCCAGTAGTATCGATCCTTGACCAATTGTTTCATCTTCCCCTTCCCTGGATGCGCTGTCGACGGTTGACGGTGGATTTCATCCAGCAATTGGGCTCGGAGGTCTCCCATATCTGGCACGACCAATCTCCCTTGGAAGAGAAGAAGATCTCCTTGCAATGTCCATCGGGGATCCGCTGCCGCACGGGCTTTCTCTCTGCCAGAATCCAATTCCTCTGCTGTTCGGTTTGCTTCTAGCACTCTGGTGACTACCTCTGTTGATCCGGATAATGCTGATATCTCTAACCTTATCTGGGGGCTAAGGTATTCGGGTTTTAGCAAAGTACGGATATGGTGATCATTCTCTCCCTTCTGGTGCGTTGTGGCAGGTCGCGAGAGGGCATCCGCAAGAGTGTTCCACCGTCCTGGACGGTATTGGATGATGAATCGGAATCGAGAGATGAATTCCGCCCAACGGGCCTGGCGTGTGTTGAGCCGTTTAGACGTCATGAAATACTGCAGGGCTTGGTGGTCAGAAAAGACATCAAATGGCTCTGTACGCTGTAATCCTTCTAATTTTGCTCGCCATTCCTCAAGGGCTCTGATGATTGCAAGCATCTCTCGATCATGAATGTCATAATTCTGCTCTGCTGGGGGCATAGTCTTTGAATAGAATGCCACTGGATGCCAGTCTTCAATACCATGCCTTTGGGATAGCACTGCTGCGACAACCTCTGCAGAAGCATCAGTTTCTATTCGCGTTGGAAGAGATGGATCATATAGTTGTAGCAGAGGTGCTGATACCAGCCGCTGCTTCAGCTTCTGGAAAGCTGCTTCGCACTCTGGGGTCCATTTGAACGGGGTGTCGCTTTTCGTCAGATTGATTAGGGGTCTGGCTATCCGGCTATATGCCTCAATGAATCGGCGGTAAAAATTGCAAAATCCCAGGAAAGATTGCACTCCCTTAACAGTTGTGGGAACTGCCCATTTTTGGATGACTTCTACCTTCCTGGGATCAACCTTGATGCCTTTAGTAGAGATGATGAAGCCCAGATACCGCGTCTCTGTGACGTGGAATTCGCATTTCTTCCAGGACGCCTGCAATCCATTTTCCCGCAATCGTTGCAGCACTGTTCGTACATGCAATTGATGTTCTAATTCATTATCTGAGTAGATCAGCAGATTGTCGACAAAGGCCGTCAAATACTTATCTAGACAGTCGATGAAGACATGATTGACAAATCTTTGGAATGCAGCGGGTCCATTTGTAAGTCTAAAGGGCATCACTTGATACTTATAGCTCCCATATTGAGATCGGAAAGTCGTCAAATCCTCTGATTCAGGGTCCATTCGGATCCGGTGAAAGCCCTGCCGGATGTCCAGCTTAGTGAAGATTTTTGCTTGAGATATTCGATCCAACACCTCGTTGATGAGTGGTAGTGGATAACGATCTTTTTTTGTGATAGCATTAAGTTTCTGATAGTCAACGCAGAAATGGAGTCCTCCTCCTGGTTTCTCTGCCATCAAGATTGGAGAAGTAAATGGCGCATTGCTAGGAACGATGAAGCCTTTATGCAGGTTGTCAATGATGTACTCTCTTGCAGCCTCCAGCTCTTCTGCATTCATCTTGTACAGAGGGCCGTAGCCCACATTGTTCGCCTGGTCTAGTTCAATCCGATGGTTGAATTCGCCTCGGTGCGGAGGTAAGCTGTTAGATTCTGATTTCAGGAAGACGTCTGTGAGGTCATGATAAGGCTTTGGTAGCACTTGCTTATAAAGGTAAGGAGCTTCTCCTCCCATACTTACTAAGAGAAAACTAGTATAGTTGTAAGACGTTGTGGCTATTGATATTAGTTAATGTATAATAGATATTAAGATAGCTTACTATGTCCTATATAAGTGACATAATGCTTTTCTGCTTTATATAATTAGTAGAGAAATTATGGCATTACAATCCTTTTAGATGTCTTGCCATAGTTGATGTGCCATACTTATTATTATAGGGATAATCAAGAATACCACCATATTTCTTGCATATAAGCTTTACTTTGCCATCACTGGCCTATGCAACTTAATTAAAGCTGTCCCACATGCTTGAGGAGCACCCATTACTATCCTAATATATTATTTTCTTTACTCCATACTCTGTTTTAAGCCACCATTCAATAAATTCCATCTTTAATATCATAGTATAAAGCACGTAGGATTTCTTGCAATCAGGCCTGACGCGCTAGAGGGAGGGGGGCAGTGGTGGTGCCGGAGTTCAAAATGTAGAATAATTATTATCTAAATTAAAGCTCTGTTGGCTATGAGAAAGATCAGGTGTAAGATTATCTTATAGGATATTTATAAATTATCAATACTATCAGATTCAAATAAGGATGGAGTGAAAGAGTCAGAGAATCAAGATATAGTAAAATATATGCTAGGGGCGAGAGCAAAGTAAGCAATGATTAACTTATAGAAATCTTCAAGTCTAGAAAATAAAATATTCAGATGATAGATGGGGGGGGCACATCGGTCAGCTAGCAGCCAAATTAAAGTTATTAATCTATCATATTTTGACCCTCCTGCAGATAGAATAAATGGTATGATTAGATAGTACTATCTAGATACACTGGGTTTTCTGGGCTACCTAACAGATCACCCAGAACATGTTCCAGAATGGGCCCATAATATCCAGAAAGCCCAGTTTCCTTCCATATTCTTCTAAGTTCAAGCTTTTCTATAGAATAACATCGTCACCAGGTATGGGAGATCCTTCTTCCTACCATCTCTTCTTCTTAGTTATCTTAGTTGTTAGCTTGGTAATGAATAATACCACCTTTCTCACTATCTATCTCCCCCTTAGGTGAACTGGCGTCTACCTTAGATACAACCTAACATGCCTGTAGACATTATCCGCCTAGACTTAGAACTCTAACAACGTCGGGACACCTCCAAATTTTGCAGACCTATAGAATAGGTATTGTTTAATCTCACTTTTCAATTAGATTTTCAATATCTCTCTTAGTTCTCTCACAATTACTGCTCAAAGTTGGTGGTTTTTCGAGGTTTTCCAGGAGAGGATTACTTAATCATCCCGCCCGAATTAAATCCTCAAAACTAAACCCTTTTCGGATTTTGCCCTCAACACTAAAACACTAAACCTATTTAGGTTTTGTCCTCAGAAGTCAGAACTAAACCACTTCTAGGTGAACTTGCACTATTTTTAGCAGGCGTTCTTAGCATACTGAAACTTGTCATCTTGCAAGTAAGAAAGTGCTGCCTTTCAGTCATGAGTCTCATAAGTCTCATGACTGAAAAGCTAGCTATAGCTTGCTTAGGTGGGAGATAGTTATAATAGCGCTTCTTTTTCGATCTCTTCAATCTCTTCCAAAGACAAAAGTCGGAACATATAAGTCGGGAATATACTCTGTATAAGTCGGGAATATATAAGTCAGGAACAATATGATATATCTATTTACCCCACCACAGGCTCTTTCTCCTTACCCCTTTTTATAATCCCAGTGATCTCAACCCTTAATAGATGAAATCTCTCTTTCTAAATATCTCTATATCTCTTTACCTCTCTAAGTCTCGTTCAACATTACTACAATGTTATGTCGCCCCCAGATTCTATCTCCACCAGAAAGCGCGGTCGGCCCTCCAAATATAGCTCTGCCCAAGAACAACAGGCCGCAAAGATCACCCAGCAATGAAACCAGCGACAGGCCGCTCAGGCTGCGAAACGGACCACCTTCTTTGATGAATTCTACTCTGCTGGTCCATCTATAGTCGCTGATCCCCATCCCCCTATCACTCATCTTACTGGCACAGGGGAGCCGTCGGTGACCCATGAACTGGAGGAGCTTCTACCGCCGCTGAGTCCTGGTCTAGCGCCTATTGAGCTCGAAGATGACCATTTACATATTGATGAGCCGCCTCTTCCTTTAGGCCATTTCGAGGCTGCTGCCAGTCCTGAGCCAGAAACCCCAGTCCTACGATCCCCACGGACGCGCAGTGAGCGACGCCGTGTTGTTAATCATTTGAATATTGAGATTCGAGTCCCCCTACCACCTATTATCAGACCTGGCGAGGATATCTGCACGCTTGCACGTGCTCTCGCAGACCAGCTCTATCAGCATCATGGCTGTTGTCATCAATGCCATGAGCAGGCACACACGGCGCATCAAGAGGCACATCTGATTCATACAGCGCTTGCGGACTATCTAGACCATATCAACACAGACGGAGACTTTCCGGACGTGCTGAGCTCAACCACGATCGCTACCCGCGAGTCCAATCTCGCTCAGAGAGTAACTAAGCAGCGGAAACAACAGGTCTTCTGCGGAATAGATCCTGGGCAGCCAGACCAATTACCAACACATCTCTGTTTGTCAGCCGACCATCGCCCGGACCCTACATTAGAAGTCACGTTAGATATTGATAGTGTGGGTGGATTCGTGAGTAGTTTGGCAGTGGCTCGTCATGGGATCCGATGGTATCCTATGCAGGTGCCTGTCTCTGATCTCCAGTCAGGCCTACATTTAAATCCGATTTCGGTGCAGTATCACGACCTGAATGGGCAGGCCCATACCATTCGCCGACCTGTTCATCAAGTCCCGCACTATACCTTTGGCCGCCTGATCGGGTTTGAGGATATTTCTCTATATCTGCTCTTTCCCCGACTATACCGTGAAAATCAGCAATCCAGCCGTCTGTTAGACCAGGATTTCAAGCAATGGACGGACGATATTCTCCTCCCAATTATCAATCGCTGTCATTTGGGCCACCTTGTCCAACACTACCCATCTAGCTTTGATCACAGTCGGCTCAACGCCACTGCCCGTGGCGTGGAAATGCGGTCGCAGCGAGTTGATCTAGTCGTACGCGAGCAGCTTCTCTTTTACTTTCTTCCTCCCGAGGCGCTCACCACCGTCTGGGAACAGATTCTCGAGGCGACCCAACGCCCAGGCTTCCATCAGTTCCAGGACATAAAGATCCTGATTGAGGGGAAAAACCTGAAGACCCTGACCAAGGCGCATACGTTGGCCGATCTGATCGAGGGCTTTCAACAGCACTGGCAGAATGCCGTCCACGAGACCTATCTCTCGGAGCCGTTCTTCTATGATATTGGAAAGGAAACATGCCCGACGGCTGTATTCGAGCCCTCTGAGAGCCAGCCGCAGACGTTGCTCTGGCGGCGATGCTGCCTAGACGCCTATAGCCAGTGGATTCATAGCAAACAGCCACCGGATGCTCCCCATGCCCTTCAGCGATTCTACCCGATCAGTATGCTTGAGGATACCGGCAGCCTCACCTTGGAAACCCGGCGATCATCGCCGCACCGGCAAGCTGGTCTTTTCTACAGCCAGTTCTACGCCAGCGTGAAAGAGGTCTTTACCGCAGGCAATATCTATCCTTTTACCAACTCCGGTTTGGAGACCCTGGCGCTCGATCCGAAGCTCCGAAAGACCTGGCAAACTGTCGGGGGCGGTCTGAGCCATAATCCCATCGCTCTGAATCGCGCCTACCTGACCACAAAGCAACGGTGTCATGCCGCCCTTCAAGGCTCAATCCAGAAGGTCTTCGGCCTGCGAGAAGAGCACCGCGTGTCTCGGACGCTATTCGATCAAATCATGCGAGAATTCCAGGACCGGGGACAGTTGACGACCCCATTTCTGAGAATTCCTGATTCCTTGGAGAGTTTCTATGCCCTTCCAACCTCTACGCTCCTTCGATGGTTCCGATGGAATATTAACAAGTTCTGTGTGGGCTTTGAGATGGTCTACAGCCTTAATGACCGGCATTTTATGACCTGGGAACATACACGGATGATGTTGATGTTCCTTCGCTGTCTCCTGTTCTCTTACTCGGGGGGTCTTCTCGAGCGGGTATCGGGCTGCTGGCGAGATGTCTGGTTTCGCCCAGATCCAACCCAGCCCGACGGCCTTCGCCGCTGCGAGGGGCTAGGGTTTCAGCGGAATATGCAGCAATCCGGATACGGCTGGTTTCTTGATAAGATCGACTGGGAGATGATGGTGTTCCGCCAGCCCGCCGCGCAGTTCATACAATTTAATAATCCCTCGCTGCAAGCCGCGTATCACGCCCGCTACTCCCAAGTTTGGGATGTCCGCGTGGACTTTATTCAGATCAGCCAGATCCATCAGTGGATGACCGAGTTCAGCAGTATTCTAACTTGTCAGGAATATCTTCAGAAATATCTTCGTCAGCTCTGTTTACGCGCCTTCCGCAAGGATGTCTTTGCTCAGATTAAGCCACTTCTGAATAAAGAGTCAGCTACCGCCGCACTGGCAGGTGAGGTCCCGCTATGCTGGCCCAGTCTGGAAAACGCGCTTCAGGCCCGATTCCGGCCTCCACACATTGCTTCGGGAAATCGTATGGCGGTCAAGCACATTGATGTCCTATTTACATGGCTCTGGGAATGGCGTGACGGACGATTTAAACGGAAAGGATGGGATAATAAGCCCTATCGGCTCTTATATCAAAAGAGCTTTGAGATTATCACACTGATCCAAGGAAAGGACGCTGCTCATGAGTGGAAGCAAAGTCTGAAAGCCTCCTTTATTCAGAGCCATTGGATGCTGCCCTATCCCCAAAACAATAGTTTCATGCGAAAATCCAAAGAGAGTGGTCAGGTTATGTGGTGGTCCAGTGTTCACCGCGGTCTAGACCTTTATTATAAGGAACTCGATTCCTTTGAGAAGCCCTTTCCGGCCTCCTATATCAAACATCATCCTATCGATCATTGGGGCCCATCTCGACCCTCCCTCTCCCATCTCGACTATACTATTCAACCGGAGCAACGACTTCTTCATCTCTCTGATAGCGACCTGTATCAGCATCTGACCGAGCTACGTACTCAGTGGAATTCTCGAACCTGGACGCCACGTCCGTCGGGGCGCCAACCGTCTCGAGTAATATTTGAGATTCAGGAGCGGGTTGAGAATCCATTCAACCCAATTACAGGCCCTGTTGAGACATGGTCTATATCAGCGTGCAGCCGGATGCTTCAGCCAGCATTATATAAATACGAGATTCTCCAGCATCGTCAGCAGTGTTTTCAGCGCCGTCACCGCCATTCCACAGTACCTGACTATTTCTCTGACACAGAGCCTGAGGTGCAGGTAGATGCGGATCAGCAAACATCTGATGAAGAGGGTATCGAGCCTCAGAAAACACGTTTAGAGGAGTACATTCAGCGTATCGAGAGACGGATGTTTGAGATTATTTGTGAGGATTGAAAGGGGTGGATGGGCCCTTATATGCACGATCGTATAATTAAAGATCTTGCTCCTCAACTACGTCGACTTCCTCATCATTCATTCTCTCTTCTACTCCTTCTTGATATCCCACCGGTGGATGAGAACTATTCTCTCCCGCCACCGCCAGGTAACGTGACTATTACTGGGAATCCATATCATATTCTAAACAACAGGCAGAGAAAGAAGAGGTTAATGCAACGGTAAATCACTGGGTGGATCATAATAATTAAATATATAATATTCTCTTTCATTCTAGTATTCTGAACAGAGTCATTACTAGCGGGTGCCTAAGCTAGAGTAGTTCTTTACAGAAATCCCTGTTCCTAAGGCAGCATTTGAGTTTCTCGCCCACGGATTCGCGCCCACCTGGCATGCAGGCCCCGCCTGAGCCGACCCACATGCCGATCCACCCCAGTTTCAAACTGGCTAAGTTCCCGCAATCTGAAAATAAGGTTTGTGGGTCTCGGCAGCGCTAAGATGCCGCCCAAACTTTAATACCAAACTATATCAACTTCAACTGCTCACCACAACCACAACATGAGCAGGGAACCCTATTCCACAAGGGGCGGCGACCCTATCCTACAAGGGGCGGGAGACCAAGATTGTGGTTGGTCTAGGGTTTGCTTAGGAGATGGGTGCTGATTGGCTGTGACCGTCAGAGGAGAGCACATGGTTGGTTTATACTTCTGTGCATGGTTACAATAGCTACAGCATGCCGAACATGCTCATAATTTAAGGGATTATAGAGTTGGTATTTATCTCTTGACTTCTCGCTCCGGAGTCTATTTCATTGAGAAATGAAGGTATGATGTGGGTATGAAAAGGTCCGGGGCAAAGAGGGAAATCTGTTGGGGTGTGGTCCGACTGTTAGTTTAGGATAGCAAATACTGAGTGATCAGTCAACTCAGGGGAAAATCATTCATCTTATTGTTCGTAGTTCATCCCATCATCCCATCATTCTCATCATTATTAACTCACTGTGGGTATTAGCTATGGAAAAGCAATTATTTGAAAAGGTGCCTATCTTACGCATTCTTCTTTGTCGCCAATGCAAGTATGCTGTGCGGCCTCGAGAAGTCGAACAGCACTTGAAAAAGAAGCATCATCTCAAGCATCAAGTTGCTAGCCAGGTGGCCCAGGCTATCATCCAATGGGATGATATTATACAGGACAGTGATGACATTCAGATTCCCCATGCTTTAGATGAGCCGCTGCCTATATTACCATGCCAACCAAGTGGCTTGCTGTGCCGGAGGGACCCGCAATGCCATTTTATCGCATCCACCATGGGGTCTATTCGCAAGCACTGGCGTATTTCCCATCAATGGTCCCAACAGACCCACCGTGGACGTGTGAGCCAGAATGCAAAGGCTGCGGGGGAGGCAGAGCTACAGCAATCGTTCCAATGCGTCTCATGGCAGCAGGTGTTTCCCACTGGACGAGGATCCCATTATATCCACATCCGCTATCCAGATGGTCACGAAACACCACCATCCAGTGACCAGGTTCAGGCCACAGTGGATGAGATGTTGCAGGCGTGGGAGCAGGCACAGGCGCAGACAAACGCCCATCGGACCGCCCAGGCCAGTGAGCTCACCGATGCCAACCCATGGCTGCGGATGACAGGATGGCCAGATTACTTGACGGGCATCGCGGAGAAGGATATGCGTGACTGCGTGGCGGCGCCGGAGGAAGATGTCATGGACGCAACCGAACAGCGGGTGCAGCTGATCTGGAACACCATGGAACAGGTCGCGCGAAAGAGTCAGCAGACAGTCCAGCGATGTGGCCAAGCCATCCGCATGGAAGCGGTTCGGACACAGAAAGGGCAGATGCCATACCGGCCATTATTAGCGTATATGGACGAGTCGGCGATCAAGAGGCATGTGCACCCATGGCAGCAGATATTAACATTCATCGCCCGGACGCAGGTCCCGCATGATTGGACAAGTCCAAAATATGGGATGACAGCGCGACAGCGCCGAAAATGGTGTAAGTTGTGGGAGCTTACTAGCCATCCCCCGCGCAGCAGCCCAGTGGAGGACCCCCAGATGGAGCCATGGATCATGGATGACAGGAAAAAAGCATGCTTGGAGTTTTGCATTGAGTTGCTGAACCAGCGCCATCGCAGCCAGGAATATGAGAGTGCATTAGTCTGCGCCATGGCGGTGTTAGGCCAGGGGGAGACCGGCTGGCGCGACCCCGAGAGTTATCCCCCGATATTATCGCAGGTGATCAAGATCGCGCGGTTCATGGTGGTCCAGAAGGCATTATGGATGGATCCGAACCCGTCCGAGATCATTCAGATTTGGGGGAGGAAGGACGCCAGTGCGGAATGGGTGTTGTCCAGTGCCGATGACTCATTAGGAGAGATTGATGAGGGATATGATAGCGATCATGCCACCGCAGTGCAGTCATCACCGCCATCATCCATCCGCAGTGATGATGCATTGCCCGCAGTAGATATGCGCCAGCAGGGCTGTCGACCATTCCAGGAGCAGGTGACGTGGATGATGCACCAGTTCATGATCCGCGGCACCCATGGCCCCATGGAAACGTTGCTGGATTGGCGCACATATGGGTTGAAGGTGCATTACAACACCACCGCCCCCGGGCATGTGACATGGATGGGTGAGGACCAGTTATTGTACCAACAGATGCAATTCACCATGGGCAATTTCCGGGGATTCGTTCACGGATTGACGACTGCAACACAGGACATATTATGCCAGTTATGCAGCAAGGATCATGACCAGATGCCGCCCATTCCATGGACGGCGTTGTACGACGACCCGAGCCAGAGTCAGCGTGGGTGGAATTTTTTGCGGGACGCACGGACGCAGTGGCCCGTGGATGGGTCCCGCTGGATGATCGACCGGGTACGGGCCGAGCCGCCCATGCAGGAGCAGTTTATGCGGGGCGGCTGGTTCCATACCCCATTAATCCGACAGTATTGGCAGCGCGTGGCGCAATTTAAGGAGAAGCTGGCTATTCCACAGGGGGCGGCGACTGTACTTGACACCGAGCTAGGGTTTAGCCCAGAGCGGTATAGCGGCAGTGATATTGGGGTAGGGGCCAACAAATCCATCTGGGGTAGGGTCGTGGCGCCAGATGGAGTCATACACATTTCAAATTTAGACTACTTGCTGGTTGGCCAATTCAGCATTATTTAGCCAAATTTCAATGTGGAATTCGATGATTTGAGGATGTGGTGAGAGTGTGGTTAATGCACGGAATTTTGATGTGGTTCAAGTTCCCGCAGAACAGTGTGGATCCGAAAAGCATTACCCATGAACACCATGGCTCCAGATATGGTTGTAGGCATTTTAAATTTAGCCAGCTCGCTGGTATGCTAGTTCCGAGTTATCCAGCTAAATTTCAGTGTTAGATTCGATGATTTGCAGGCGTGGTAAGGGCATGTTTAATACCCAGGATTTGGTGTGGTTCAAGTTCCCCCGGATAGAAAAAGCAATGCCCACGAACAAAATATTCAGGGGTTGAACCCCATCATCATTCACCCATTCGATTTCAAGCCAGTATATCAGTACACATCATCATTCAGAATAGAAGAGCAGATTTTCATCCAGCTTCCCCAGCCACCGATCATTATCTGCCGGACCTGCCGCCATGGCGTGTGGCCGGCTGAGGTGGAAAGCCATCTCCGGGGGAAAGCCCATCGATTACCCCAGGCCACTGCGAAGCAGATTCATCAGGTCATCCAGACATGGGAGGGTGTCGAGCATGACCCCCAAGCAGTTCAATGGCCCAGTCGGATCGCCCAGTCAATTCCACACCTGGATGAATACCCCGATGGGTTATTGTGCCAGCGAGACCTGGCCGATTGCCAATTCATCACCCGTTCACTCGATACATTAAAACGGCATTGGCGCGAACATCATGGATGGACAGCACCAAATCATAGGGGTCGATCACACCCACAGGAGCAGGAACAGGCGCAGATCGCGATCCAGCAGGGATATCAGGTGGTGACCTGCCAGCGGTTTTTCCCGTCCCGAAAAGGGTCCCATTACATCTGGGTGCCGTGCCCGAACCAGCAGCCCGAGGAGCAACCCAGGACGGCGCCCGCCCACCACGTCCAGGCCACAGTCGATGCAGTGATCCAGGCATGGGAGCAGGCCCAGGCGCAGGCCAAGGCTGATCGGGTCATCCAGGCCAGTGAGCTCACCGATGCCAACCCATGGCTGCGGATGACGGGCTGGCCGAATTATTTAAAGGACGTCGCGGACAAAGATATGCGTGACTGCGTGGTGGCACCAAAGGAAGATACCATGGATGCGACTGAGCAGCGCGTGCTAGTGATCTGGGACACCATGGAGGAGGTCACTCGAAAAGCCCAGAAGACAGTCCAACAATGTGGTCAAGCCATCCGCATGGAAGCCGTTCGATCGCAGAAAGGCCAGATGCCGTACCGGCCATTATTGGCATATATGGATGCCACCGCGATCAAGAGGCATGTGCACTCATGGCAGCAGATATTGGCATTTATCGCCCGCACGCAGGCCCTGCATGATTGGACCAGTCCGAAATATGGGATGACTGCGCGACAGCGCGACAGCGCAAGAAATGGTGCAAGTTATGGGAGCTTACTGGCCATCCCCGACGCAGCAGCCCCGACCCGATGGAGGATAATCCCCAGATGCAGCCGTGGATCTTGACAGAGATTGAAAAAGCATGCTTGGAGTTTTGCATTGAGTTGCTGAACCAGCGCCATCGCAGCCATGAATATGAGAGTGTATTAGTCTGCGCCATGGCGGTGTTAGGCCAGGGGGAGACCGGCTGGCGCGACCCCGAGAGTTATCCCCCGATATTATCCCAGGTGATCAAGATTGCGCGGTTCATGGTGGTGCAGAAGGCATTATGGATGGATCCGAATCCGTCGGAGATCATTCAGATTTGGGGGAGGAAGGACGCCAGTGCGGAATGGGTGTTGTCTAGTGCCGATGACTCATTAGGAGAGATTGATGAGGGATATGATAGCGATTATGCCACCGCAGTGCAGTCATCACCCCCATCACCCATCCGCAGTGATGATGCATTGCCCGCAGTGGATATGCACCGGCAGGGCCGTCGACCATTCCAGGAGCAGGTGACGTGGATGATGCACCAGTTCATGATCCGCGGCACCCATGGCCCCATGGAAACGTTGCTGGATTGGCGCACATATGGGTTGAAGGTGCATTACAACACCACCGCCCCCGGGCATGTGACGTGGATGGGTGAGGACCAGTTATTATACCAACAGATGCAATTCACCATGGGTGATTTTCGGGGATTCATCCATGGTTTGGTGACTGCGACGCGGGAAATATTATACCAGTTATGCATGAAGGGCCATGACCAGATGCCCCCCATTCCATGGACAGCATTGTACGATGACCCGAGCCAGAGTCAGCGCGGATGGAATTTTTTGCAGGACGCACGGACCCAGTGGCCCGTGGATGGGCCCCGCTGGATGATCGACCGGGTACGGGCCGAGCCGACCGTGCAACGGGAGTTCATGCGGGGCGGTCGATTCCATTCCCCCGCAATCCGACAGTATTGGCAACGCGTGGCTCAATTCAAGGAGAAGTTAGCAGTTTTAGTCCACGTCACCGCAGGAGCGCCAGCACGCGCCCCAGAGTTGTTAAGCATTCAACATAGCAACACCGCGAATAGCATGCGCCGGAACATATATATTGAAGACGGCATGGTGACGTTTGTGACGGCATATCACAAGGGGTTCCACACCAGCAATGATGTCAAGATCATCCATCGATATGTGCCGCGGGAGGTCGGGGAGTTAGTGGTGTGGTATATGTGGTTGGTGTTGCCGTTTGTAGAGCAGTTAGCTGCATGGGACGCCGCGCAGGCAGCGCAGGGAGCGGCATCACAGGCAGCGGCATCACAGGCAGCGGCATCACAGGCAGCGGCATCACAGGCAGCGGCATCACAGGCAGCGGCATCACAGGCAGCGGCATCACAGACGAACCAGACGAACCAGACGAACCAGACGAACCAGACGAACCAGACGAACCAGAGCAACCAGAGCAACCAGAGCAACCAGACATCCCAGACATCCCAGACATCCCAGAGTAGGACCGTCGCCCACACGGCATGGTTATGGGGCCCCGATCCAGGCACCGGCCGTGAATGGTCATCCGAGCGGTTCCGGGAGGCATTGAAACGGGAAACACGCACCCGATTAGGGACTGCCATCCACATTGCGGCATATCGGGACATCGCCATCGGCATCAGCCGCCGGTTTTTACGTCCATCCACTGCATTTCCAATAATGTGCAAGAGGCCGACCACACACCAGCAGCCATGGATGCAGATGCTGAGGAGTTTATGGATGATGAGCAGTGGATCGGCCACATTGCTGACTTGCAGGCCGCCCATTCATCCCATGTCGCAGGCATGGTGTACGGTCGAAGTATCCACGAACAAGCTGGCAGCACCAACCACCGGCGCGAGATGTTCCGGTTATCCAGCACCGACTGGCATCAGTTTTTGGGGTTTGCATCCGCAGCCACCGCACCATCGATATTAGGCAAGCGCAAACGAGCGCCATGGGAGGATGAAGCCGAGGTCAGTCGCATCGAGCGCCGCCACCAGCTGGCCACCATGGATATGGAAGCAGCCGCGCAGCGAATGACCGGGCAGCCCACCATGCGGTTCCGGGGGGTGCAGGACCCGGCCATCCGGGCCATCCAGCGGGGGGAGAGCCCCGTGGTTGCGGTGATGCCGACCGGGGGCGGCAAGAGCATGTTGTTCATGGTGCCCGCGTTCGCCACGCCCGGCGGCACGACCGTGGTGGTGGTGCCGCTCGTCGCATTAAGGGCAGATATGACGCGGCGGTGCCAGCAGCTGGGCATTTCATGCGTGGCATGGGAGAGCCGATGTCCCCCCGACGCCGCGTCGATCGTGTTGGTGACCCCCGAATCCGCAGTGAGCCCCGATTTCCACACATTTTTGAATCGATTGCGGTGGACGCGGCGATTAGACCGCATTGTCATCGACGAATGCCATGTGGTGTTGAACGACCAGCGGGATTTTCGTCCACGGATGGCCCAGTTAGGGAAATTAGTGCAGGCCCGCACCCAGATGGTATGGTTGACCGCCACGTTGCCCCCGAGCATGGAGGATGAGTTATGCCGGCGGATGAAGCATGATCGGACCGCCGTGACCATTTACCGGGCCCGGACGAGCCGTCCGAACGTGGCATACCGGGTATGGCGCCCCGTGTTGACGGGGGTCGGCCGGGGTCCGTACCAGTGGATTGAGAGTGAGGCTGTGGTGGCATTCATTCAGGACCGTATTCAACGGGCGGCCGGTGGCAAGGTGATCATATATGCGAATATCATTGGGCAGGTGACAGCCATGGCGCGGGTATTGGGGTGCGAGGCGTATTATAGCGACCAGCTGGACAAGGCCGGGGTGTTGGACCGATTCATGGGAGGTAGTCCAGTCATCGCAGCCACGAGCGCATTAGGAATGGGGGTGGACATCCCCAATATCCGCAGCATCATCCACATTGGCACACCGCGGACGTTGTTAGATTATGCGCAAGAAAGTGGCCGAGCAGGACGGGATGGCCAGCAGAGCGAGGCGATCATCATTCAACCGGCTGGATGGGGTGCGCCAGCACCGTGGATGGAGGGGGTATCCGCGGAGGATCAGGAGCGAGTAGCAGAGTACATGGGGGTGGTGGAAGGGGTTGGGTGTCGCCGGGTGGTGTTAGATCAGTATTTGGACGGGGTGGTAGATGGGTACCAGCGTCAGCATTGCCAGGATCAGGATGGGGCCGAGCAGGCGTGTGACGGGTGTGACCCCGATTGGGAGGGGCGGGAGGTGGATCCACCCGGGGTCGGCCGCAGCCAGGTGCCGCGTGAGGCCGGCAGCATGATCCAGAGGGATGCAAGCCCGGAGGCCCCGTGCGAGGCAGGGAGGCAGCGACCCCAGGTTAGCCGCAGCCAGGTGCCGCGTGAGGGCGCCAGCGAGGCCCCGCGTGAGGCAGGGAGGATGGTAGGGAGGGATGCACCCCCAGCAGCCCCGTGTGAAGCAGGCAGCATGATCCAGAGGGAGACACCCCCCAAGGCCCCGCGCGAGGCCCCAGCAGCATCAGCCAGTCCCACATCATCCCATGATTCATTTTGCAGCCAGCCATCCATTCCCATAGGTGTATGGCATGTCCAGCAGGCCCAGGCCCAGCAGTGGGCCGCCATGGATATCCAGCAGCAGAAGCATCGGACCCAGCAGGGTTTAGATGAGGAGATGGCCCAGGCGGAGTGCATGCAGTGGCGGGACCAATGTTATATATGCGCCATGCAGGGGTATGATAGTAGCCATGAGTTATATTCATGTCATCAGCCCCACAGCCAGGCCGCACGGGCATGGATGATTCGCGTGCGGCGGCAGGTCCAATATGCCCCATATAGCGCATGTTATTCGTGTGGCATGCCCCAATCCATATGCCATGGGTGGGAGCCGGGCCATCCATGTGAATACCGCGGGTTTTTAATCCCCATGGTGGCCATGATGTTGTTCGGGCCATGGCAGGGCCAGATTAAGCCCATATGGCAGCGCCGGTTGCAGGGAATGGGGGTTAATGGGCAGGATGAGGCCCAGGTGGTCCAGTTTTTAGGGCAGGCCCACCCCAACCAGGAGGGGCACAGCCAGTTATTTGTATCATTTTGTTGGTTATGGCGGTTATGCCAGGAGATTAAGGATTAATAGGATGGATATATATATGGGTTTAGTAGATGAATATATCAGTGTAAGCAGTGGTTTCATATCCATGCATATATATATTCGCCAGATGAATTATGAGGGGGAAATATAATATTAAGCCAGGTAAGTAGTAAGCCACCATGTAAGGTAGGCCAAGAGGTAGGCAAATACATAGGGACCAAGGTAGGGAGTAAAGCCAGTAGAGAGGCACCATGTCAGGTAGCAAGAGAGGTAGCAAGAGAGGTAGCAAGAGAGGTAGCAAGAGAGGTAGCAAGAGAGGTACTGCAGGAGGTAGGTAGTATGGTAGGGGGTGAGGAACCGAAGATAGTAGGGAGAGAGGCGTCAGGTAAGGTAGGGAGATAGGGAGAGAGGCGCCGTGCAAGGTAGAAAGCATGGTATGGTAGGAGGCACCGCATGAGGTAGGCACCATGGTAGGTAGAGAGGCAGGCAGCATAGTAGGGAGCAAGGCCAGCAGAAAGGTAGGGCATAAGATCAGCAGGATGGATATATATAGTATAGGTTAGGTTAGTATAAGAATATTTCAGCATAATCAGTGGTTTAGTATATATATGATAAATTATCAGGGGAATATATATAATATTAAGCAAGGCACGGAGAGAGGTAGGCAGAGAGGTAGGGAGGTAGGGAGGGAGGTAG